ATTGCTGTTGCAAAGTTTCAACTCCAAGTGCTACTTTTATCTTCCTTTATAAGTACAACCAGTAGAGCTACAGTCTCATCAGAAACTTCTGCTTTTAAAATGTTTTAAACTAAATGTGTCAGTATGTCTATGCATCTACATTAGAAAAGAATCAGAGTTAGAGGACAGAGTTGCTGTGGATGAAATTAAAACAATATTAATTCATTGAAATGAACCCAAGTTGCTCCCCTGAAAATGTTTTTGTAAGCTAAAAGGACAAAAAGGCATGCTTGAATATTGATGAACAAAATAACATTGAAGTAGAAATCCCTCACTTCTTTATGTTTACCGGTACATGTATATATAGAGTACAAGGTTATAGTCCTAAAATATAAGTGATATTTGGATGAGGCTAAGAAAACGTGATAGAGGGTGAGGCTTGTTGAACCCTCTGAATTTTCCACTCAAGTGTTTTGTTTATCCTGCAACATGGATAAGATGCAATAAGTATGAAGTTATGTGCCCATGTCCTCTTGCCCTTGATTGGCTATTCATCTAATAAATATCTCAGTCTTGTATTAGGGTAATTAGGATTGATATTGTAGGTAAATGTCATGTGTCTATAAAATAAGCCCCCCCCCCCCCAAAAAAAAAATATGGTCTTGTTTCCTGCTACCAGCCTGAAAAAAATAGGGAAGGTAGGTAGGAAAATTATTATATATATATATTTTTTTTTTTCGACGGCATTTTAAGCTCAACTAAACGAAGTTGGGTGAGCTTATGCAATACCCTCGGCGTTGGCATCCCAGGTTAAAGTTTTTGGTGCAGTTTTCTTTTCAATTACTTCTGTGCCCTATATTAATCAGAGATGCATGGAGGATGCTTCTAGTATGTTTCACTGTACCAGTCAAGGTTTCAGATGCTTCAATTTCAGCTGAAGAATGTTTTAGGAACAGGTAAAACTTCTTAGAGCAGGTTAAAGTTTTTGGAGCAGGTCTCATTTCCAAGTAACTATAAGCCCTATATTGATCAAACTTGTATGGATGATACATCTAAGGATGCACACTACAGGACTTGCTTCAGATGCTGGATTTGACCTACATTTTTCGGATGAGAACCAGGTTAAAGTTTTTTGAGCAGGTCTCATTTCAAAGTAACTTTAAGCCCTATGTTGACCTAACTTGCATGGATGATACATCTAAAGATGCACACTACCAGGCTTGCTTTGGATGCTGTATCTAGCTGACCGACATTTTCCAGAGAAGTGACCAGGTTAAAGTAAACTATAAGGGCTATCTGAACCAAACTTACATGGATGATGCATCACAGGATGAACACTCTCAAACTTGCTTCAGATGCTGGATATGACTTACATTTTCTGGATGAGTGACTAGTTTTAAGTTTTTAAGTAAGTCCATTCCCAAGTAACTGCAAGCCGTATCAGACCAAAATTGCATAAATGTTGCATCTAGGGATGCACACTACTAGATCATTAGTTTGGAACTTTGCCTTATTTAAAGACAACATTTGTTTAGGTGAGCTCTGTAATCTCTGATTACCTATGTTTTGGATATGAACTAATACAAGATCAAATTAAATATGTCACAGGTCAATTTTGTCTTTAAAAGTTAAATTTCATGTCTTTTGAAACAAAGCTGAAGTGGTATTTTGTGAAAGTCCACATTTAAAACATAAAATTTCATGAAATGCTAGTTTTATGTTAACATGGAAACCGATTACAATGACAGAATGATGAAATTCTAGAAATTCCCAATTTTCTTTCTTCCAAAACTGAAAAAACTTTATGGTAGGGTGCAAAAAACAGTGATGATTCTGTTCCAATATTTAGTGGAATTTCGCTAATTTCAATCCAAGAATCTGGTATTTATGAGTGTTTTCCGATATTTTGGTACTTTCTATTTTTGCAGCTATCTGTTTCTGTTTTTGTCCAGGTAAGAAAATTCAAGTTGTTTTGACCGTGTTTTGATCTAGTTTGCATCATTTAGATGTTTGCTTATATCTTCAAGTAAGGTAAACACAGACGTAGGTACGAATCAGAAATTGCTAACAATAGTGAGGTGGTTCTTTCAGCCAGGTTAGTATGTAAAAGTTGATTGAACAGTCACTTTTAAATTTTTGTCACTCATTTTAACCTATTTTGGGCTTGCTAATTGAAGCCCATATTTCATCAGCCCCTCGATCCCCAACCTATTTCAGCCAAGTCGCAGAATCATCATTGAAAAAAACAAGAGTCGTTCGGGTAGTAGGAAACAAGACTTCTTTTTTTTGGCCTAAGGAGTCTAAATTGAAAAGTCGGACAATACTTCCTTATTTATTTCAATTATAATAATATTTTTTTTAATATTAGAACTTCACCTCTCAACTAAAGTCCTATCCTAGGCCCAGAATTATATATGTTATTTTAGAGATATAATTGAAAAAGTAACTATTCCTTAAGGAATACTGATTAATTTTTTTTGTATATTTCGCAGAAACTTGATCATGCCACGTAAAAAGAACTGGAGGAAGGCATTGGTGAAGGTGGGGAACCAGAGTCGTGGCAGCAGTGACGGTAGACTCGTGGATACTGGCCACGTAAAAAATAGTACAAAGGACCCAACAATTGACATAACAGATGACGGACCTTTGAGACTCGTGGACACTAGCCACGTAAAAAATAGTACAAAGGACCGGGGGGATACTGCCTCCTTAAAAAGAGTACTAGATTTGCCTTCGGGTGCCAGTTACATTACAAATTTGCCTTCGGGCACCAATAACATTGCAAATTTGCCTTCGGGCACCAGTAACATTGCAAGTTTGCCTTCGGGCGCCATGAACAATGCTAATATGCCTTTGGGTACTATGAACTCTGCAAATTTGTCTTCTGAGTCTCTAAACTGTACTTGTTTACCTTCAACACTTGTAAATTCAAACAGTTTGCTACCTAATTCTATGATGTCTGACAGTGTGGTTTTTTATTCCAAGAATACTGATAATTTTTCTTTAGATTCAAAAAACACAAATGAAAGTTCCTCTTCCTCTGAACAGACTTCATGTTTATCTTTCATTGATAAAAATTTGCATGTGACAAAATTATTTGGAACAATTAATCAAGCTAGTAATTTATTTCCGCATTTTTCTAGAGGAGTTCAGTGCACATGCAATGCTTTGATGTCCATCATTTTGCAAAATGCGTCTACTTCAGCAGAACTTGATGAGGTACTCTTTGCTGGGGATGATTTATTTAGAGTCAGAATTGCAGAATTACAGTCAACTGATCAATTTGTATCAAAAATGCTACAATTTCAAGAACTTCCCAAGTCTGTTTTTGTGCATGATAACCAGTATGAAATATGCTATTTTGAAGAGATCTATGGAACAGTGACTCATATTGATTGGGACCACTCGTGCCAAAGTAATAATTTGAAGAAAGGTATCGAGCTACTCTTTAGAAGATACAATCAAGGATTAATTATAGTTGGAGGAATTTGCTCTGCAATATATGTGGATGACAAGAACTGTCCTGTATTTTTTGATTCACATTCCCATGGAGAGGACGGTCTTTCATCTGCAGATGGAAAGGCTATTAAAATCACTTTTAGTGATATTGATCAACTTGTGGACTACATGTTTTCATTTTATCAAAGTTGTAATATTTCAATGATAAGCCAGTTTGAGATTCAACCAGTGGCTGTAACACAAAAAACAAGTGTGTCCAATTCAGGAAGTGAAAGACTTTCTTTAATTGATAAGTACTTTGAGTTCCAAGAGAACATGTCAAGAAAATATATCATTTCTGAATCATTACAAGGAAATCGAAATGAATATATGAGAAATTATATGCGAAAAAGAAGAGAAAACTCACAGATAAAACAGAAGGACGGGGAAAGTAACCTTAGAAGTATGACCAAAGCAAGGCAGAGTAAAGAATTTAAAAAGAAAGAACTTGCCTCAAAAAAAAAGTATCAGAGAAAATCCGGAGACAAAGCAGAAGGACAGGGATAGTACATTAAAAAGTATGACCAAAGCAAGACAAAGTAAAGAATTTAAAGAGAAAGAACTTGCCTTAAAAAAAGTATCCGAGAAAATCCAGAGACAAAGCTCAAGAACAGAGAAAGTACATTAAAATGTATGACCAAAGCAAGACAAAGTAAAGAATTTAAAGAGAAAGAACTTGCTTCGAAACAAAAAGCCAGAAGAAATCCAGAGACAAAGCAGAAAGACAAACAAAACACTTTGAAAAGTAAAACTAAAGCAAGACAAAATAAAGAATTTAAAGAAATGGAAGTTGCTTTAAAAAAAAAAGCCAGAGAAAATCCAGAGACAAAGCAGAAGGATAGAGAAAGTACTTTAAAAAGTAAAAATAAAGCAAGACTAAATACAGAATTTTGTTTAAAAGAAAGAGAAGCAAAGAAAAGGAAAAGAGACAGTGCAGAGCAGCTGGAGAAGGAACGGCTATGTAAACAGAAAAGTAGAAAAAATTACAGAGAAAAAGAAAGAGAGAATGAAAGAGTATATAAAGCTAAAAGGAGGCTTCATACAGAATTCAAAGACAATGAAAACAAATTGTTGAAGAAAAAGTGTCATGGTAATTCTTTAGAAGATTGCATAGAGAAATTCCATGAACAAGTGAAAATTGGTCCAATTTATGTGTGCACATGTTGTCATCAGACTTGGTTTTTGAAAAGTGTTGTGAAGCTAGATTTAACTTGTCTTAGTGCTAGTAGTAAAAGTATCTGTACTGGATTTAGATCTGTGAATGGCATAGAATGGCTATGTTTAACCTGCTGTTCAGCTCTGAAAGATGAGAAAATTCCAAAACTTTCAGTTAGAAATGGAATGAAATGGCCTGAAAAACCAGACGCATTGAATTTACACCCATTGGAAGAGAGATTAATATCTCAGCGAATACCATTTATGCAAATAAGAGAATTACCAAGAGGAGGTCGATGTCAGTCAAAGGAAATGTTGTAAATGTACCAGTTGATATTCAGCCAACTGTAAATGCCCTTCCACGACAAATGGATGAGCATGTGACTATAGCTGTAAAACTGAAGAAGAGATTATCTCACAAGTCTGCATGCTTCACAGAAAATGTTCGTCCAAATGTTGTGATAAATGCTTTACAATGGCTTATGAAAAATTCTGAATTGTATAAGAATTCAGGTATAGTGATAGACCATTCTTGGAAAGATAAAATTGAAAAAAGTACTGAGGAAACGGTACAAGAACTGATAGGATCTTCAAATGATAGTGATGATCGTGAGACTGAAGGAAATGATGATGGTTTTTGTGAAGTTTCTTCAGATGATTGTATTCAAGGCAATTCTGATACACTTGTTGATGAAGCAGACATTGATACAAATAAACTTTATGTGTTTGCTCCTGGGGAAAACCAAAAACCAATAAGTTTATTTACAGATAAAGATGCAGAATATCTCTGTTTTCCGACAATATTTTGTGGTCATCGTAGGACTGAAAGTGAGGAAAGAGTAGTTCCAGTACACTACAGTGATATTGCAAAATGGGAGTTGCGCAGTGTTGATAGACGAGCAGCACAATCTGTACCTAACATCTTTTTTAAATTGAAGAAGATTCAAATTAAGCAAGTTAGTGACAAAGTTAACTTGGCACTGAGAAGATGTAAATCTGAGGGTAAGAAAATCACTGCAGAACAAGTTTTAAATCCAGTTTCTGCAGAAAAAATTGTAAGATTAAATGAAGGGTATTATATATTCAGAACACTTAGAAATTCTCCTGCATATCTTTCATCTAAAAAGAAAGATGTCTTTGCCATGATAAGGCAGTTGGGTCTTCCAACCTGGTTTATATCTCTCTCATCAGCTGATACCAGATGGCAAGACCTGCTTAAAACATTGGCAATGCTAGATGGAAAATCCATGTCACAAGAAGAATTAGAGGCTATGAGCTGGAATGAAAAATCAAAACTAGTGAAACAAGATCCAGTGACATGTGCAAGATTCTTTGACAACAGAGTTCAACTCTTTATCAATACTGTTCTTAAGAGTCCTCACAATCCTCTTGGTGTTGTCACTGATGTGTTTCGAAGAGTAGAATTCCAGAACAGAGGTTCACCACATATTCATATGCTGGTATGGACAAGTGATGCTCCAAAGCATAAGGAAAATAGCAATGAGGAAATTGAAGCTTATGTAGATAAGTATGTCACATGTGGTTTGCAGGAAAATAATCCTCAAATGAAGCAGCTTGTAGAGCTTCAAGTACATAAACACTCAAAGACTTGCAAGAAAGGTGGTAAATCTGTGTGCCGATTTGGATTTCCATTGCCACCTTTGCCCAAAACGATGCTTCTTGAACCCTTGGATGTTGATGTTGAGCATTATAAAAAGATGTATTCTGATATTCAGAAGAAAATGAATGATTACAAAGATGGTTGCAGTCTAGACTATGAGTTCTTCTTACAGACTGTTGTAGGAATGTGTCAGGATGAGTATATAAAATGTATTCGAGCATCCCTGAAAGGTCCCAAAGTGTTTCTCAAGAGAAGTCCATCTGAAATGAGAGTGAATTACTACAATCCATCAGTGCTAAAGGCTTGGAATGCTAACTTAGATATTCAGTTTGTACTTGATCCTTATGCCTGTGCCACATACATTGTTGCTTACATCAGCAAATCTCAAAGAGGAATAAGTGCAATGCCTGATAAGGCATCTCAAGAAGCTGCAGAGGGAAATATGGATCTGAAGCGTCAAGTTCGACATATTGGAAACAAGTTCTTAAATTTTGTTGAGGTCAGTGCACAAGAGGCAAGCTATTTGATCCTTCAGATGCCTCTTACACAAGCAAGTAGAGAGGTCGTTTTTATAAATACCTCACCACCTGAAGACAGAGTTTTTTTACTCAAACATCAAGATGAACTGAATGAGTTACCAAAAGACTCGACTGACATTAAGGCAGATGGTATGATACAGAGATACGCAAGAAGACCAAAACAACTAGAAAATTGGTGTCTAGCTGATGTTGTTTCCAAAAGAAATGTTTCCAAAAGAAATGGAAAAAGATGTGCAAGAGGAAGTGAGTGATGATGACCCAGATAAAGATTCTCAAGGGAACATCTTTACGGATCAGAATGTTTTAGTTCATTTGAAAAATGGGATTAAGATCAGAAGACGAAAAAACAAACGGGTTATTAGATACGTAGGGTACAGCCAAAAAACAAATTCTGAACAGTATTACAGAGAAAGAATTTTTCTCTTTTTGCCTTGGAGAAATGAGAATACTGATCTTTTAGGTAGTTGTCAAACTTATGAACAGCATTACAGGCAAAAAGCAAGTGTAATAAATCTGAAGCAAAAGCAATATGAACATTTTGTGGATGAATTGGAACAAGCCCAACTTCAAGCTGAAGAAGATCTTGATAATATGGAGACAGTAGCACCAAATACAGAACATGCTGAGGCAGAAGATGCAGAGATAGGTTCTGAACCATCGGAGGAATTTGTTCATTATGATCCTGACACAGTTCAACATAGAGATTTTGACATTGGTCCGGAACTGGGCTTGTCCTTAAAAGTAACTGAAACAGAAATGAGTGCTGTCCGCATTCCAGATCAGCAGTATTATAAACTTTTGCAGACAATGAATACAAAGCAGAGAGAATTTTACAATCATGTAATAAACTGGATTCAAATTAGAGATGAACCATTATATGCTTTTCTTACTGGTGGAGCAGGTGCAGGAAAATCTGTGGTTATTGATGCCATTTTTCAAACGTTACACAGAATACTGTACTCAAAAGAAGGAGAAAATCCAGATGATATTAGAATATTACTTTGTGCTCACACTGGCAAAGCTGCATACAACATCAAGGGGACTACTATAGCATCAGCATTTCACAGGAAAATGTATCAAACACAGCAGCACATGAGTGCAGATGAATTGAACTCATTTAGGACAAAGTACCGGAATTTGTCAGTTGTGATAATAGATGAAATTTCAATGGTTGGAAATAATATGCTGACATTTATAAATGATAGACTTCAACAACTTACTGGTAAAAGACAAGATTTTGGTGGTATTAGCATCATAGCTGTTGGTGATTTGTATCAGTTGCCACCTGTTGGAGACAAGTGGATTTTTAAAGACCTTTCTAATCCTTTTCAGAGTTTAGCAAAAAATTTGTGGCATGAACATTTTCACATGCATGAATTAACTGAAATTATGAGACAAAAGGATGACCTCAGATTTGCTGAAATGTTGAATAGACTTCGTGAAAACAAGATGACAGATGAAGACAAAGAACTTATTTCTCAACGCATCATCAGGCAAGACTCTGAAATCTATCCTAAACAGGCACCTCATCTGTTTATTGAGAACAAGTTTGTTGATTGTTTTAATAACAATTTAATAGAAAACCTTTCAACAATTAAGGTAAATGTAAGAGCAGACACAGATGTATTATCACAGACAAAACTCTCTGCATCAGTGAAATCCAAACTAGTTCAAAATTTGCCTGAAAACCCGGCATCTACTGGACAATTAAGAACTAATCTGGTTATTGCTGTGGATATGCTATATGATATATCAGTGAATCTTGATGTTACAGATGGATTGACAAATGGAGCTTCATGTGTTGTGAAGTACATTGATTATAAACAATCACAATTAAGGCCTGCCATCGTATGGGTTCTGTTTCTGGACTCAAATATAGGTATTTTAAGAAGACATCAATACACTCATTTGTTCAGTTCAAATGTTAATAATGCATGGACTCCCATATTTGAAGCTAAAAGAGCATTTGTTTTTAACAGGAAGACCTATGAGAGAGTTCAGTTTCCACTCCAACCATCAGCTGGAAAGACAATCCATAAAGCACAAGGAGCAACTCTTTCAAGTGCAGTAATCAGCTTAGCACAGACAAAGCAGCGCAAAATTCCACATATACATTATGTTGCACTCTCAAGAGTAAGGTCACTTGATGGTCTATACATTCTAGATTTCAATGAAAAAAGTCTTTCTAAAGATGAAAATGTTGATAAAGAGATGGAAAGATTGCGAGAAAATAGATTGCAGCTCTCATACACACCACTTTACTCGGTATGTAAAGATGTCAAATTTCTGTTCAACAATGCAAGATCTCTACACAAATACTTCTTTGATATAAAATCCGAACCAAGTGTTCTAGCTGCAGATGTTATTGGTATAGCTGAATCTTGGCTTTGTGAATTAGATTCTGATGATGACTTTACTTTACAAGGTTTTACAATGTTCAGAAATGATGCAAGTTGTTCCCAGACCAGATCACATCATGGCATTGTCATATATCTGAGGAATCAATTACAGTGTTTGACATACAACTCTTTTACTTCCGAATCCGTTGAATTTTCCATAATTTCCATTATGGCGTCCAATACTCCAATACAGTGTGTAGTTTTATATAAACAGCCTTCTTGTACTCTTCAACTTTTTTACAATACCTTGAACAACAGGTTGCTTCCATTTGTTGACAAAGATGAAAAAATTGTGATAATGGGAGATTGTAATTTGGATTTGAATACTGGTCAATATGGACATTTCCTATACTTTATGAAAGAAAACTTTGGTTGTGAGCAAGTGATAAACAAGGTAACCACAAAAAACAATACTCAGTTAGATCTAATATTTACCAACTTTACTGATATACAAACAGATGTTCTTCAGGCATATTGGTCTGACCATAATATGATATATTGTGCTGCAAATATGATGTAAGCTAGCTAATGATAGCATTTTAATTTTATTGTCCAGTATTAAAAACCCTCTAGAGCACAACACAGGCAGTATGTAAATATTTAGTTTCCAATGGAAGCTAAATATTTACAAACTGCCAAGAGTGGTTAGGCAGAAACAAGGGTTGCCACTCATCATCTACCTTATTTGTCCCAATAACTCCCCTGTATGTTTATAAAATGTATGTACATGTATATGATTTTAAAATTCACAAATGCTTGCTTACTGTGGGAAGTTATTGCGACAAAATTTTGTTTCAAAATTTTAATGCCCATGAGATGAAATTACTTAGTTTAAATATGTTAAGTTTGCAACCTTTCAAAAAACAAGTGAAAACAGTTTGTACTGCCTGTCTTTTATATAGGATATACAATTCAAACTCCATTATTGTTTTCTTACAACAGAATATGTAAAGTTTTGTTATTACACAATATGTAATTTGTTTGTAAACTTTTGTAATTGTATATTGAATTGAAAATTTAACTCAATTATAAATCGAATGTAATATAATGATCTTTTTCTAAAATTGAAATATGATAGTACAGTATTTTAAGATTCATGTACTGATGTATATATTTGCAAGATTTGATAGGTTCAAAAGTTAAGATATTCTTTATAGCATGCATTCTTTTGTGGCCATGCCTACATGACTTGATATATTAGGTCTGGATGAAATGTACAAGTAGCATTTTAATACTTCTATTCCAATGATGACATTTACTTCTTTGTTGGGTTTTTAAAACTTTTTAAAATGTTTTTGTGTTTGTAAAGTACTATCTGTTTTGGTGATGCATGTACATGTGTAACAATTATAAAATTACTAGTTAATATTTCATCTCGTGGGCATTTAAATCAACATTGAATTCTTTAGTAGATTACTGTAAATGTATTATATTTAACGTGTACGATATTTAGCGGAAATTGATTTTTGAACAAGTTAGCATGGATTTGATTGTGCGCATTTCTTTATGTTCTTATATATGTATATATGTGCAAGACACTTAGCGTTGTGCTTGAATAAGGGGAAGTTTCTTTCCCTCAAAAGTGTGAAAAAGAATACACAGCCAAATGTAATACATTTACAGTAACTTATGGTGATACATAGGTATAGAATGAAAGAATTTTTGAGTTATACACATAACTACTGCACTTATTATACAACCCAATGTCAAAAGGGCATATCTGCAAAGACATTGTAAACAGAACAGTTGTTCCTGTCAAGTCAAAGACTAACTCTTGGCTGTGTTAATGTAAAACTATTGTTTATAAAAATTACATGTTACATGTGAAATTTATAAATGAATATTACACTTCAGAAAAGACTATCTCCTGTGTTACATGTGAAATGTTAAATTAACATTTCATTTCTGAAAAGACTGGCTCTCGTGTTACATGTGAAACTTTTAAATCAACATTCCGTTTCTGAAAAGACTGGCTCTCATGTTACATGTGAAACTGTTAAATCAACATTCCGTTTCTGAAAAGACTGGCTCCCATGTTACATGTGAAACTGTTAAATCAACATTCCGTTTCTGAAAAGACTGACTCTTGTGTTACATGTGAAACTGTTAAATCAACATTCTGTTTCTGAAAAGACTGGCTCTCGTGTTACATGTGAAACTGTTAAATCAACATTCCATTTCTCAAAAGACTGGCTCTCGTGTTACATGTGAAGCTGTTAAATCAACATTCCGTTTCTGAAAAGACTGGCTCTCGTGTTACATGTGAAACTGTTAAATCAACATTCCATTTCTGAAAAGACTGGCTCTCGTGTTACATGTGAAGCTGCTATCTACATTCTGTTGTGCATAATCATATATATTAAGAATTCATTTCTTATTTTTTTTATTTATGTTTTTTTAAGAATTATATTTTTCCAAATACCAGGTATACTGATATATTGTTGAGTTACACTAAGGCAATTTAGAATTTTCTAACTATGATACTTGTATACTGTATAGTACTACATTCACCCTAACAAGCATCTACATGCTCAAATCTTGTAAATGAGAGTCTTTACCTTATAGTGTCTACTGTTGATCAAGAGTTTAAGTCCTAGACTAGCTGCTGTCACTAATTAAATTATGTGTATTTAGAACATTTTATCACCAAATCACTACCAAATTATTATATGCATTTTCAAGTTCCTTCTTAAATGTAAAGTCCCATAATTTCCAATATATAAATACATGTATATGAGTATAAAGAGACAGGTAGATGTTATACTTATTTTTGTTTAATTTTCATCTGCCAAAGGTGTTTACTGGAGCAGATACAATATTAATAGTGTATTTGATTTTGTAAAATATACAATAAGCATGAATTTAAAAGACATGGATACTCAAAAAAAAAACAAAACAAAAAAACAAAAGAAAACAAAACTATAGAATTTGTAAAAACAATTCATACAGACTTGTTTTTTGCTAAAACACATATTCATTATTAAGTTTTCCTATTAAGCCATCCTTATTTTTGCATTATCCCCAAATCTACATTTAATAACTATATATATATATATATATATATATATATATATATATATATATATATATATATATATATATATATATATATATATATATATTGAAATTCAATGCAAAAAAAATAAAAAAAAATTCCCCTAATAAATTAAGAATTTACCCACATTTAACATATAACAATTAGAATCTGTGAACAACACAATTCAAGGCACTATGATAAAACCCCCATTTCTAAGGATTTTGGGCAGACTGTCACCTTAAGATTTATTTCTCAAAGCTGTAATTTGTATAAATAAATGTATTCAGGTCTTTGTAAACAACTTTTAATCTTTCTTTTTGCTTTCGTTATGTAAGATTAAAGAAGTTGTTCTCGACAATGACTGAATACAGCTAAATTTTCTATTTCCTTGAAATATTTCACTTAGCTATCAATTTTCATTGTGCAGATATTTAAATTAAATTGTAATCACAGATACTCTGAATTTAAAAGTATATTTAATTGATATAAATTCACTGGTTTAGGAAGTCCTTGCATATTTTTTTTTTGGGGGGGGGGGGGGGGGCTGCAATGTTTCAAAATGCTATTAGAACAGAATGATATTTAAACCAAGCATGTACTAAATATATTTTTGTTCTTGCCATGTTGCATTTATCTGTTGATTACAGTCTTGATTATACTGTGAAAAGTTTAGGATAACTTTATGGTGAGATTTTTTCCTACTTGGGCAGATTTTAATATGTATGTGTACAATTCATGCTTGATGGACAAATTCATGTACATCGACACCAGAACCTACTATAACTGCTAACTTGAATTTTAAAAAAAACATGTTCATGCTACCATGATTTGACAATATCTATTCAATGTTTAACTGTCTGAAATCACCAATGACATGAAGCATTCACTTTTTAAAGGTAAGTAGCATAGAAAGAGGGGGTCAATGGCCAGCCCGTAAAGGGAGGTAAACCTTGCTTCTTTCAGATGATATAGAAATAAAGTGAACATTGCTTCATACATAGTATGTCTGGTGGTAAAATTTCAGACAGTAGACAATTAAAATACTTACATTTTGAAATTGAACGAAGTACTGGTAATTAAATATCTATGAATTGTTCATCAGGCTTTCTAAGTAAATGCAATGCTAATTAGTCAATAAATGCAACTTGATTATTTAAGTCATTATTGTGCATTAAGGCTTATTTGCCTTAATAATTTGTGTTTTTCCTGTTGAATAGTGTGTCATATTTTAATTAGATTTATTGTACAATAATTTTAGATATTAAGATGTTTTATCATGACTCTTTCCAAACCTGATGTTATGATAAAGAATTCCATTGATTACATGTAAATCATTATCCTGAGAGAATTAAAACACAATAAATCTGATATGGCTTTTTTGTGTATGTGTCATTTTTTTTTTATTACAGTATGTTTAAAGGACTGTAAGAAAAGGAAAGGATTATTGCTTACACATCAAAGTTTATTTTTGAAAGTATGCATATTAAAAATAATAAATTGCACTATAAGTACCTTGTGTAAAATCACATGTATGAACTAAACAAAACATTCATATAATAACCAAAAACTGGACAATTTATCGCTCTAAAAAAATATGAAATTTTTACTGGGGCACTCAAAAGTTTACAATTGTCA